GGTGAAGACGGTGGCGGGAGCGACGACGCGGCGAGCATGGATTTGACGACCGACGATGGTGAGGAGGCCGACGACACCTACAGTGACCTGGAGGACTTCATCGTGTGCCAGCCGCGCCGCGACTACGGGGCGGCGCTGCTGGCGGCGGACAGGGCCAAGGCGCGGCGGGCGGCGGCGGCGCGGGGCGGGCGGGGCGCGTGACCGGCGGGGCCGCCTCCGGTTTGCTGGTCGAGGCGCGTTTCCGCTGGCCTGACGGCGTCGCTGCCTTTGAATGGTGATGCTCTAGGCACATCGTGGTGCGTTTTTCGGCTTCCTGTTGTGGTCGCAACACTGTGTAAACCCTTGGACCCCGCCAGTGCCTCCTCGCGCTGCCTCCTGGCCCCGTCATGCATGCTTGGCACCAAACCCAAAAGCCAGGCTGGGTAGCTAGCGAGTTATACGGGAGGGATCGATTATGCAGTGCTGCTGCCTGAAGCGCGTTTATGGAGTTGTTTGCGGCCGGCTCATAATTGCTTTTGGATCTTGATGAGCCGGTCAGTGCGGTCAACCTCTCATCAATGTTGTGACCCTGCCTTCCCGTCACGAGGCCTGGCTTGCAACTGCGACTTAATGCCTAATTCGTGTGCCTTTTGCTGCTTTCAGCTGTTTGACATCAATTTTGGGGGTTGGTATTCCCTGCCAGTGATGTGATTGCATTCTCAAAGCATGCAATTTGGCTCTGCCTGCAAGCATATACTGGGCTACGTAGGTCTGAGGACTCAGCCGGCCCTTCACTAATAGCATACTCATGAAGGGCTGGCCGGGCACTGATCAAGGCTGCGTCTCATTGAGATGCGCGGTACTGCCAACGACCAGGAACGCCAAGCAGTACTGCCCATTGAAGCCCGATTGTGGGGTCATCGTGCCAGGCAACACCACAGCCTAGCTGTCCGATCCTGATGTCTCTGCAGTCAGTCGCCCTGCAGGCCGGCAGCCAGCAGCATTCAAACCCTGTCAGCAATCATGCACTCAGCAGCCGTGCCGCTGCCTGGCCGCTGCCCCGAACAAGACGGCGCAGCGGTCGCTGAGCGCGCAGAACCGCGCGCCGCGCGGGGTGACGCAGCGCCACACTGAGGATGAGGCGCCACCCCGCCCAAAGTCTTGTGGCATGGGCGAGGCGGGTCCGCCAGGCGGTGCAGGAGGCGACACGGCTGAGAGCGGCAAGGCGCCGTTCGTGGCAGCGCGGCCCCGCTGGGGCGCAAGCCCGGCTCAGGCAGAGCGCCTGCCGTTGTTGTGGGCCCCGGGCGGTCGCTTGGCTGCGGCGTCGTCCTCATACCATCGATGCCCCGTGTCAGACGGCGATGTCGAAGCTCTCCGCGCCCGCCGCGTCGCCCCCCTCCGCCGCCGCGTCCCGCAGCAGCCGCGCCGCTGCCAGAAGCTCGGCCGCGGCGGCGCGGCCCCCCTCGTCGCCCGCCGCCTGCAGCCGGTCGGCGCAGGCGCGGCAGCTCATGGGCAGGAAGGGGCCCCCCTCCCTCACGATCGTCCTGCGCTGCTCAGGGCCGGCAGCGCGCACGATCATCGGGAGCAGCTCGACCGCGGCCCGCCGCACGTGGTGGCCGCGCGTCGCAAAGTGGGTCTGGGGCCAGCCCATCGCCCTGTCGGGCTCGTCGCCCTTGTCCACAAAGTCGTTGAGCTGCCAGAGGAGATGCCCCAGGGCGTGGAAGCGCAGGGGGTCCCTCTCCCGCGAGACCCTGGGGTCGGGCGTCGTGAAAAGACGCACCACGGCCGCCGCCCGCTCGCCTTCCGGCTCTGGGCGCAGTAGCTCGGCGAGGGTGGCGGCCGAGAAGCAGCTGGTGGTGTAGCCCGGGATTATGCTCGTGTGCAGCGCGTCGAGTAGGTTTGGGTTCGCCATCAGGGCGCCGCGCAGCGGCTCGGTCCTCAGGCCGTAGTAAACCGAGGCGGCCGCGGGCAGCGTCCGCCCCAGGCGGCCGCCGCCCGCGACCATGGCCAGCAGTAGGTCGACGGCGGTGGAATTCATGCCGCAGGGGCGGGATCCCGGGGCGCCGTCGGACAGGGCGGCGGCGGCAAGCGGGGCGGTGTCGGGGCGGCGGAGGAGGTCAGCCAGCACGAACATGGCCGGGGGCCACCTGCAGATGGCCGGGCGCGTGGGGAGGTGGGGGCTGTCAATAGGCCTGCTGCGGCGCATCAAGACAGGGATGAAACAACGACTATGTGCGTGCAGCGGGGCGAGTGATTCCAGGGGAGCTGGCAAGCCTGCCAAGTGGGGGAGGCTTTGGCGACTTGGACGTCTGGCAAACAGGCTGGGATTTGTGTGCCTTGCATCACAGCCAGAGGCATAACAACCCCGGCCAGCCGGCACGCAACCCCTTGGCCGCCGCCAGCTGATCCATCCTGCATCCGTACAACACGCGCGACGCCCGACCACACCCACTAGCTCACATCATCGCGGCGACCAGCGCGGGCGCGAGCGCCGCGTCACGCTGCGCGGCGTCCGCGACGGCGCGCTCCGCATCGCCGTCGTCGAACACCATCGCCCCCAGCAGCTCGATGGCGCACAGCGCGGGCCTCGTCAGGCGGCCGTCGTCCCCTTTGGGCGACGCCGCCAGCTCAGCAAGGGCCTGCACCAGGGCGTGCTCGCGCGCGACCCGCGCCGCGGGGCCGGACGGCGGGGGCGGGCACTCCTCGCGGAAGGCGTCCCGGCTCTCCTGCTGCATCAGCGCCGCCAGCACGCGCATCGCGTCGCACGCGGCGCCCAGCGCCAGGGGGCGGGCGCCGCGGTCGGCGGCGGAGCGCGAGGCGGCAAGCAGGGGGCCGATTGCGTCGAAGGCGCTCGGGGAGCGGAGCGCGTCCCTGCGCGCCGCGTCTGCAGCTTCTTCATGGGGGCCATAATCGTCGTCCTCTTCGCAGCTGCGGTGCACCAGCAGCTTCAGGAGCAGCCTGCAGATCGCGTCAACGGCGAGTTGCGCGTCGGCCGCGCCTGCGGCGCCGCCGCCCGCGGCGGGGGCGAAGCGGGCGAGCGGGGCCAGCAGCGGCTCGGGGGCCAGCGCTGTTATCATCTGCGGGTGCAACCAATGGCGAGGATGCAGTGGCATGTGGGTGTGAGGCTGATGCGGGTGGGAGACGGCGGTGCATGGCGCGCTCGTGCCTCGCAGCTGCAACGCAGGCTCCGGTGGTGATGAAGGCAAGCCGTGCGCCCCTGGCTCCGCTGAAAGCGCGCGCACTCGCAATGTTTGCAAGTTG